TCTGGACGCCCCCCGAAGAGTTCTAAAGATAATTATTAACACTCGTAACGCTCAGAGGTGAAATAAAAAAGTTCTCGATGGTTGAAGTTTCGGATTCGAAAAATTTCTAAGTCCTACAGGAAAAAAATTTTTTTCTCGGTAACCGGCAGTTCTGTTGAGAGTTCTGTATAGTCCCTCACGAGTTCTAACAATTATCCTTAAGGCTCGAAACGCTAAAATCAAAATTGAATGAGTTCTCGCTATTTTTCGTTTTCTAAGTCGAGAATTTCAAATTTAATTTACGTAGTATTTCGAGCAGAACTATTTTTGAATCTTATCTAGAACTATAGAACTATTTGAAATCTACTCAGAACTATAAAAAATTTGGATTTTTTACATAATGGAGGGCGCCGTGAAGTTAGCCCCTCCATTTGTCAAATGATGTTTTCTTTACTTTAAATGGCAGAACTCTTTCTAAAATGGTCTGAAAACTCTAGAACTCCTCGGGGGGCATCCAGAACTCTATCATTTTTTTTTATTTTGAAAAATGGGGGGCCAACTTCACAGAGGTGTGTAACTTTATGTGAGAAGGCATTCCTGTCCCCGTGTGTACAATGCAGTACAATTTCGATTATTTTAATTTTATCAAAGTGTGGGGCTAACTTCATACACATTAAATCGTTACAAGCACGTAACAAGCTGTTGTCATATTCTAGAAGTCGATTTGTTGTTATCTTATGCGTAATAGTATCAGTAATGCATACATAGCCATTGAACGGCAGATTCGGCTTTGCACCGAATTCCCCTCCGATGAGAAAGGAATCGTAAGAAAAATTCTGAAGAAAATATTTCATATTCCACTTTTTCTGCGTCTTCGACTTCGTCTTGCATTTTATAATTGCCGTGTTGCCATGCAGTCCTGTAAATTTGATCTATGTTGTATTTTAAACGCAAAATCAGGAGCTCTAGATTTCTCACCATTCGCAGCAAGATTGAAGGGTTTCTTCGTCAACTGTGGACAGCTGGTTATTGTGACTACCACGTTCTCGAAACTTTTCTTTAATGCCATAGTTAGAACTATTGTCGAATAGTAATGAATGCATTTAAATACGTGGGTATTGAATTAGGTTTTATAAATTACGTACCCGTTTGCAATTCTTCGAGGTCAGGTTGATACAATATCTCTTTTATGAAATTCTGTGTTTTACTGTTGTTGCAATATTCACAATATTCACAATATTTATCTTCTTCATTATTCTGCATGACGTCCAACTTGAATCAAACACGATATTTATTGATATGTATATTTATGTGGTTTTAAGACAAAACGATCGAAGATGTAGAAAATCATAATAATATTTAATAATTGTGTGGTTTTTTTTAAGGAGAAGCAATAAGAATAAAAAAAATACGAATTATTAAAGCACAAAAAATATCGTAAATCAATATACAAAATACATATTTGGCCATAATTTGGATATTTAATACATATATGAGGCCGGATTTTGAACTAAGACATTAATGATTAATAATTTGTATTTACTAAAGATGTGGTGCAAAATCAATTCCAACATACGTTTGCAAATATTTAAAACTTTTATTATTTTATTAGCACGACGAAAACACGTTTCTGATTTCGTAGCTCGTACAGATATGAGAGATTCGTTTATATATTCTTACTTCGGCATAGAAGAGGTCGTGAATCATAACAGAAAACGTCAACGTCGAATGGAAAATGATTTAGTGTAATCAGAGATCGTAAGAGGTCGTAGATGACCAAACGAAAGTTTGATGTAAATTTGCAAAAATTAACTTATAATTCAAAAATAATGAAAAGGATAAATAAGAAAAATTTGTTTAATGACAAGCTGAAGCGATTGCAAACGTGTAAATGGTACCGCAATAAAAACGTACTGCTTTACGTTTTTTGTTACAAATATAATATATTGCAATTTTCATATGTAACTATATTTCCAATTATGGATTTAAGCAATCAGAATATACACAAAAATGTAGATATTCAAATATTTACGTAGATACTAATAATAAAAGAATTTTTTAAAAGCGACATAATAATCAAGATTGACGTAATATTAATTTATTTTAGTAGAGATTAATTTATTTCAGTTGAGAAGATTAAGAGCGTGATGAATACTTCATTTTTCGTGTTATTAATCGTTTATGCGTCCGCGAGAGTTCTTGGTTAATTAATTTTGCAGAATAGAAAGAAGATACATATCGACATCCATGGAAGAAAATTAATTGTCACGATTTTTTCTCCACGAAATTAACAACAGGCTGTATTCTTGTACGCGAAATATTTCTAAATATTTCTCTCGTTAAGAAATAACTCCGCATTGACTACAATGCATGGTATATTGGTTTATGCACAGTCAATTTTGATAATATTAAAATTCCGTGCGTTTAATATACTGTGCGGAATTCGTGTTTATTCCTTCGGGGGAGATTGTTAGAAAATAATATTGCAGTCGCGCAAAGAGCAGTGCGCGTGTTACATAGCGCTGCTAAGCTCTTTGAGGAGAAGCACGATTGCTGCGATATTAAAAGAGTCGGAAATCACGAGACAAAATTCAATATACGATTAATAGAAACACGCTTCGCTATCGTAAACTAGTTTTTTTTTATCGTTACGTAAATATTCTATTCTCTTATTGTTACGGAGATAAGTGCTTAAAAAATTAGTGTTGCGCGCTAATCGAACAGGCGCGTGAACGATGCCGCAGAGTTTTCTAAAAAAAAACCTCAGTCGGGCAAACAAATAGCTGGAATTCGCCATCGCTGACGGGTGCTTGGATGGATCAATATCAGCTCCTTAAACCATTCGATTTCTTCTTGTCGCGCTCACTTTCGTATTTTCGGTTCTGAATGAGAAATTTCCGCGAGAAATAGCGTCCCGGTATGCTCCTTTATATGTCAAAAAATTATATGCTTTATATGTCAAAAAATCCCCGCAGCATTTCTGCGAAATTAGATTCTTCTCTCGCGATGGACACATAATGGAGACGAAGGGGACGTAATGTCCCGGATTTTATCCGACGTAACGAACGTAATTTGCACGGAATTACGTTTCATTGAGTAGCAAACGACGCAAGCAGAGATATATGCGTATATCGTACACACCTATCGAGGGCTCTCTTTGCCGTGCGCGCTCTTTCGTTGTCAGATCTCCTCTCGTCGTCTCTCTCTTTCCCGTCGCTTCACGTCTCATCGCGCGCTCCGCGTTTCAAGATTTCCGCACGATAATATCCCCGGCTTGAATTGGACCGCATTGGGCGTTGGTCTACGCCGTTATCTGCACATCTGCGACTACTGTAGTTTTGCAGATCGGTGTCTCGATTTCCTCTACGACGTGGAGAAATCTCCTGTTTCCCCCTTCGTTTAGTGCCGGTCGGAGTTTCCGAGCGCGACAATTTCGTGGTTTGCCGCACACGTTGCTCACGGCGTGTGCAGATGTCCTGAGACAAATAGGTGACTATAAGAGAAATTAAAGCTTAAAACGATATGTTAATTGCAGTATTTTTTTCTTAAACTCATTTCTTTCTCATAAATAATTTTCCACAAAATAAATAGCTATGAATTATTGCAATTGATTTATTATATAAATGAATCTATTGTATTGTAAGATGCAGATAAACGCGTCGCAAATGGTTCGTGGCGCTTTTGCAATGTCCGTTTGTGACATTTACGGCAATGTTACATTTCCGCGGCAGGCATACGATGTTTTTAGACATTTGTTATTGCACACCGCCGCGCGTATTTGCGTTAAGTTCAGCGCGACTAATACGCTGAAAGTAATCTCCGGCCCGACGTCGCGTGTGTTTGAAATTTTAGCTGCTCGTGTCTTCACGCTGTCTTGCGCTGATTCGACCAACGTCATACCCGGAGGAGCGGTCGCTTATTGCGCTTTTCCAAAAGTGTGCGGCTTTCCATTATTGTAGTCCGTCTGCGCGCGACGCGCGTCACCGTGACCGCGCTGCGAGTTATGAAATATTGCGAAACGTCGCGCGGAATAGTAGGTCAGACGGTGCCTACCGCACGGCGTAGTCGGCACAGCGATAAAAGAGGTAAAATCCACCTCGAAAATTTCGAGGCGAGCGAGTACGGGCTTTTTACGGTCGGCGCGAAGAAAAATGTCCCTATTTTTTGCCGGCGTTATGAATTATTATCTCGTCGCGTCCGGACGCGCGGTCGCGCTCTCTTTCGCGTACCTCCAGCAATGGACCGGAAATTGGAGAAGTCCGGAGGTGCCGGGATGGAAATTAAAACGCGCGACGAAACGGCGCTCCGCGTTCCATCGATCGTCTTCGAGCTCTCTTCGTCCGTTCAATATCGTCGCCGGACGTTGTCGTCCGCGACGACGAAGTCGATGATGATGTGTCCGCTGTGTGAACAGTAACGTGTAGTTATTTCCGCGATGCGTTAATGGCACTGTTTCACACAGGGTGAAAACGGGTAACACATATCTTCTAGGTTCTATTAAAAAAGGACATTTTAAAAGATTATTTTGAAAAAATTTAATAATTTAACAGTTTTTATATATAATAATTTAACATTTATTTTAACAGTTCTGATTGAATGTAAAGAATTTGTATTTTCTCCAACTTCTAATTGTGCCTTTTATAAACTGAGAAGTAAATAGAAAGAAATCGAATCGAAATGTAATAATTGTATAGACACAATTTTCTTTCTTTACTCTGAAGATCACTTAGTGAAATATCCACTTAGTGAAATCCTCTTAATTTCAAGCACCCTATATATCTTGCTGCGGTCATCTTCGCTCCATCAACGGATAGAGAGCTATGTCCACTCTAATTATACTTATATACTGTCAAGTAATAGAGTAAGCATAGCGATCGATCGAAGAGATTTGAGAAAAGAGGCACTTATTCAATTAATGAATATTCTGTCGAGAACTCGAGAATATATTCGTATATGTGATCTTTCTCGGGCGCAATCTCTCTCTCTCTCTCTCTCTCTCTCTCTCTCTCAGATTTCGCGTAGATTCTTAAATACATATTATGTCGAGATAGATAGAATTTTGTAAAAGAAATTTTATAAGGGTCTTAGAATTGACGGAAATCGACCTGGCGTTGTTCCTCGTAGCGTCGAAATGTGCAGTGAGTTCTCTTTCAGCGAATTCTGTTGAGTGGAATCGTCGTTTGTTACAACTTTTCGAATTTCGGAGCATTCAACATTTTACGTTAGTAAGAAAGTTTCGCCAATTAAAGTCGATAGTTTCGTGTAAGTCAGCTTAAACTCATTCAAGAATTCTATCAATTCGCTCAGTCCACTTGAAATTGTACTACGACTAATAAAGCTCCATTACTTAGTAGCGCTGCTGGAAGTTTGTCGCGTTTTGGGACGCGGATTATGCACGCGCTTCGAAGTACTCGTTTTCCTGGCATAGCATTCCGGTATCGACACTCACTCGCATATTTCGCATACAGTTGTTAGGTCGGCTCAAGTTTAAGCATACCGAGCGGAACGTTACGAAGCAGAAGAGATCAGAATCCCGGAGATATACGACGGCGTGGTTAACGAGACACGTTATTCCGGCGTTTGCGAGAAAAGGAAGACGGCATGCCGCTATTACCTTACAGAGCCATATTTCATATCACTATCGACTTTCCCGATAACTGGCACCTGACTCTCGAGCTTTTTTTCTCCTCGTCGTCGGATCAAGCCCGTAGAAATGAGGAGCGTGCTCGTGAAAACGAGAGACGCTGAAAGCGGAGCGCGGGAGATAGGAAACGGAAAGGGCGAGTGAGTGGGAAAGAGACGGAGAAATTGATAAAGGGAACCCGGAAGTATCGAAAGGGAGGATATACGATGAGAATTAACTCGAGGTCACGCGGGGATGCTCTCTCTTCCGTGTTTTCTTCTGCCTCCCACTAAGAACACAGTGCGTGATTACAGAAGGGTCGCGAGACACGCGCTAGTGTGAGCTTCTGATTGTTTTTCGATATCGTGGCGAGAACCGACACGGGTATCGGGTTATGGCTATTGGAGTGAAAAGTAACGAGCGCCCAACTAATATGTCCGATGTACATCCGTTTTAGCGTCCGTCTCTCGGTTCGCGATTCAGTTTTATCTAACGATGAATTAATTAACATTTAAAATTATTAATTTTTTGAAAACTTTTTGGTAGATATTTATTAATATTATCACTGAAAAAAAGTCGAAATAACCATAATTTCACTATAATTTATAGTATCCGAGGGCGCCAAGCATAAAAAATAGGGCGCGTTACTTAAGGGGTTATAACACCTTTGCGTAAGAAATTTTTCCTCTTTTTCATTAATTTTTTTTCACATCTAAGGAATAGAGTAATCAAAAAACAGATTTGAGGGTTGATTATATTATAGTTTTTAGTTATAAAATATATTTTTTAAATTAAAAAATACTTAAAAGAATATCCTGTAGATGGCGACAAAGATGACTCTTTGCGCTATGCCGGTCCAATCGGTGTGCAGGATTCCGGCTGACTAGTATGACATAAAACAAAAATTCAAAACATCTCATATTCTCTGATAAATTTGCCTTGGAAGTACGTAGGATTTTTGAAAAATATTAATTTTTGTGGAATTTACAGTAACTTGAAAAAAAGTATACAAATCTTCACTAAAAAATCGTTTATAAAATTGATTCCCAAAAAAAACTAACAATCCTATTAAAAAACGGCTACGTATTTCCATAAAAAATTTAATTTGGCGCAGGATAAGCTTTGTTTCAAGTTAATCCGATGTAAATTGTGGGAGTTACGCTGCACACCAATTTGAAAAATGGTGTTTTACAGAAATTGCATTTAAAGTTTTGTAACGAGAAAACTTGTAATTATTAGGAGCTCATCGTTAGTCTGTACCGTTAATCTGCAATGCCTGCACCATACAGTTGACCTTCTACATTTATATACTCGTCATCTGTGGCCTTCCGAGCTGATGTCTGCTGCCTACGAGCTTCTTGAGCTTCCTCGGTCATGGCGCGCTCAGCTGCGCGGATCCGGCGTTCGTCTGTTTCAACGCAGAAATTGTAGCAAGTACTGCCAATTATCAAATTTAAGACTTGCATAATTTCTATTATGCTGTGCAAACCATCGTTAAAATTGCAAACTGCAATATTTGCGGCAATATCAACGATTGCTTTGTTACTATGAACGGTTTTCGGTGCTATTGCCCACAGCACAGAATTGAAGCTCTCGTTGCTGTTTTGGGTAAACCCGCCAACACAGCGGGATAGCAACTCGTCTCGACTTAGTTCTTCATAAATTGGTTGAACAGCCTTAAAAACTTCATTATTCAAAGCTGCTTTGTGTTGGTAATGATGTAATTCGTTGTGCGCTTTCGCCTGCTGCCAAGAACACCAAGAGTTTTCTCCGACTGGGCAACGGTCGTGCTGCGGTTCGCTGTCTGTGGAAATCTTGTGGAATAAAGTCGCCCATATTTCTCGTCTCATATCTTCAATGGAATTAGGATTTCTGCGAATAGCTAGACCATAGTATATTGTCAACTCGTCGATCAGTTTGCCTGTCAATTTGCCTCCAAGACCTCTTATATTTTTTTTCAAATTACGTAATCTCGTGCCCATACGTTTTTGAACGTGATCTATACATTCTTTTTTACAAACATTCAAATCATCATAAGGTTTCGAATCTAAAATGCCTTTGAATGTTTTGCTGTCCCCGTCACCGATGTAATGAGAATATTTTAAATTGTGCAATTTTTCGGACCGCTGAAACATTTCTATGACTGCGTCTACTTCCATCTTTCCCGACGAATCTTCGTGATTTCTTTCGCAATTTGCTTCGTGATTTGCAGCCCATTCTTCATATTCGCTTGTTTTTTGCTTTTCGTTCCACAAACTGCAGGCCTTACAGAATTTAGATTTCATTGCAATGTCGACGACTTTTCCCGTGCACCACCCTATTAGTGATACGACACCGAACAAAGACGAGAATCCCCTCTTTCTCCAGGTCCTGTCACTAGAAACCGTTATCCCGTCTACCTGTCCTCTTTCCAATGACATCTCCTTTTCTTTTGCAGCTGCTCGTTTTATTGAAGTTTCACACACAGCATTAGTGGCAACACGAATGTTTGAAATTATTTTGTCATAAAAAGACTGATACACTGGTATCGGCAAACACATAAATGCACAAAATTTTTTAATCCCATTGATTCCTATACCGAGTAATCTCATTGTAAATACCATTCGGCGATTTATGTCGTAAGCGTGATTGTTTATAAGTGGGCTAGAGTTAATATATTTTGGCACGCACTTTTCACAAATAACAGCAATTTTGAAACCTAGACCGCGACAACTGGATTCTTCAAACTTGATGTTCGAGCCACACGTTTTGCAAACAATTAATTGCGAAATGCTTGTAAAAACGGTAACAAAATTAATGAAACAATACCCAAAAGTTTTGTCCACGTGTATCTCGTAATCGTCCGCACTCGTTTTCAGTTTTTTCGCCGACGTGCTCACACTTTCAGTTTCGCCTTCTAAAGAATACTTATTTAAAGGTTGCCTTCTCTTTATTGAACTTCGACTTGCACGTGAAGTACTTGCTCTACTCCCTTTCTTATTTGCATATATTCTCTTTTTCGGCATTATTACAACAATGTTACGACGTTTCAATGCAATTCGAAAAGCCGATTCGAAGCCAATTCGAAGCCGGTGGATAACGGAAACTGTTCGCAGTAAACACACAATTCCGGCATGAAATAAAGTATTATATGACAGGAATATACTGTTTTCTGTTGAAATGGTCGCAAGCGACATCTATAATACTATATTAAACTATCAGGAATTCTCAACTACTCGACATTTGAAATAGAAAGGCAGAATACTCGGAGAGCGCTCCGAGGTTTTAATTTAATTGTTTTTAACAATTTTAAAAGGTTAATTTAACAATACTAACAAGTTCATATTTAACATTTTTTTATTGATACGGATTGTACATTATTTATATTGTTGGAGGTGCTATACAATAAATAGATTACTATATACTAATAAGGGTTACATATTATATTTCGTACTTATTTTGTACTATAAGGTATATAGACATCTTGTATATTGCATCTAATACGTAAAAAATATTAAGGTTTTTAAACATGTTATGTGTTCATAATAATACGCCATTTAACTCATTATAACATATATACAGGTTGGCATAATAATTCTAAAATGGTATATTTCCATTTATTAAGGCCTATTATATCACCCTGTTAACATTTTGTGAATGCAGAAATATCGAAACAAAAAATTTTGCTTTTTTTGCTCCAATATACTTTCAGTAAAATCTAAAATAGTCAGCCTTTTTAAATATGAAACAACATCGACATATTATGTTCCAAGTAATGCAAAACAAAAACGTCTTGCTAACGGAAAACTGTGGAACAAATGCAACAATTTAAAAAAGTACATTAAGAATAAAGCAATAGTTGAAAACAAAGAGAACACTCCAATAAATCCTGATTATAAAGAGCTAAATATTGCTTTGAAACAAACTAAATAAACAAAAATAAAAGAATTGTTTTACACATATAAAAAACTAATTTTAACATTAATATACATATACATACATATTTTCATGAACATGTAAAAAACCAAATATAACATTTCGTATTAATATACAAGTACATGTATATTTTCTTAATAGAGAACGCCCACAAGCTTTATATGGACAAGTATAAATTATAGAATTAACACGTGTTTCATGTGCAAACGTAAGATGCAGTTTTAAGTTCCTTTTAGATATTGTTTTAAGACAAATATTGCATTTAAGCATTTTCACGAATATACATATATACAAATATATGTTTTTTTTTATATTGTTTATGTATATATTTACTACGTGAACTAAATCAACTTTAACGTAAATATTATTTAAAAAAAACGTAAAATTATTATTCTTATTTATTTCGAAAAACGTAACATTTCAAAAAAAACGTAAAATTATTATTAATATTTATTGCGAAGTAGAAGACATTAATTCATTTATATCATGCCAAACGATATCCGAAGAAATAAAATTTCGTGAATATTTTTCGCTGGTAATAAATACCGTACACATATTGTTGTAAAAAATACCATACTCTTTCACAGTCTACTGGATATTTTGCATCTAGTGCAAAAAAGGCTTGAAAGCACAGATCTATTGCATTCGGCAGACTTGTCAAAGTGCACTTTACGTCGTTTACAAGAACGTAAAAAGATGTGAAGTTTATCAGCGAACCCACTGCAAGGACTGTTGGCTGAAGTGTTAATCCTACAGCTTGAAGTTTTTTTTTTCGCTGTTGTAATACAGGTTCTAATTGTGCTATATTCTACAAAAAATAAAATTATATAATGTAACAATGACATTTGAAATACGTGTCCCGAATACTAAAGTATTTTTCTCAAACATGTTAGAATAAGTTACTTACAGGAATTCGACAGATAAAGCTTTCAGCAACTTTCACATTAGAAGGTATCCATTTCTTTTTGTTGCCTGTCTTTACGTGACATGTATTAATTATATAAGGTGAAACAAAAAGACTTAGTTCTTCGACTGGCACATCTGAAATTAACAGAAATTACATACATTACATTAGAATGGAATTAATAAGTGATAAAAAACATAAACAAATATGCATACACATATTGCGTTGACATATTATATACACATATTCAGTTGACACAATGCTGGGCATACTTGCTTTTTTTCAGCTATCTGTATTATGTATGGACAAATTTTGGGCCACTTTTTTTGAAAAATAAGCGTGTCAATTCCTGTTGCAATTCTACAATCAATATCTGTAATAATTGACATTAAATTAGAAAAATTTATAATTATATTATACCACGTTTGCGTGCATGTACACACATGCACACACAAATTTTATACGAAATTACCAGTGAGGTAGTAATCGAACTTTTTAAAATAGGATATTCTTCATAATATTGAGCAATCGAAGTCTTTTTCCTCCTTACGTTTCTTCCCAAAGCATTAGAAGACTGGGATCATCTGGCTGAATTGCTCGCAATGTAAACAATGCCTCTTCATAATCAGAATTTACCGGAGTGTTCTCTTTGTTTTCAACTATTGCTTTATTCTTAATGTACTTTTTTAGATTGTTGTATTTGTTTCACAGTTTTCCATTAGCAAGACGTTTTTGTTTTGCATTACTTGGAACATAATATGTCGATGTTGTTTCATATTTAAAAAGGCTGACTCTTTCTTCAGCTTATTTCTGAAAATCAGTTGAACTTATTCTACAATATTATATTAGAATGAGATTAAATGATAAAAAACATATACAAACATATATGAATATACAATTTTATAAAATAGTACATACTTTATAGATTTGCAAAGAAGTTTGTCTATAATGAAATGACTTATTTTATTACGATCTGATGCAGTCAGTCGTATTTGGCGATATTTTCGATATTTTTCGACCACAACTAGATTCGGAGAGCAATTCTTTTAGAGCCTAGGCAAAAAATATTAAAATAACAATACAAAATTTTAAAATCATGTAACACTTTCTTATTTCTATTTTTACTTGCCTACTTTGAAAAAGTTAAACGCAACAAAATTTCAAGAATATAATTCGTTCGTATAAACAAAGTTTGTATAAAAATGCATACTTGTCCACAATTATCAATCGACTCCTTGGAAGAACAGCTATCTATACTGACAGTTTCTTCGATTTCACTTCTAGTCAAATCCATTGAAATTGAAGTTTCCTACAGCGATGACATTCATAAATTAACTACAATTATCAAGAATTCGAAAGACATAAAGTACAGAATTGATATTTTTATAAACTTGATAATTCGTATTTGCCAATCTATATTTGCAAAAATTATTAATTCCAATAGAAATAGGATTTTACAAAAAATATTAATTGTTTTATCGATCTTACTGAATCTTCCTTTTCAATTGTAAGTAATTTTTTACGATTTTCTAGAAAATGAAAACGCTTTCCAATTGTAGGGATTAATTCTTCCACCATATATTCGGGCATGTATAGAAATGTCTGCTCATCTATGCTCTCATCTAAACAAATACAAAATGCAACATAATCATAATTATATTCTAGCAGTTGCAATAAAATTCTAGCAATAAAAGGTTAATAAAATTAGTTAACCTTCAAATTTTTGTACATATTCTGAAAGACCCCACTCTTCTAATTTTTCCTGGCATAAGTGCGACATTATGTTATAGAAAAAAATTGAAGTGAAACGTTTAACCTACAATGTTACATAAGAAAATAATTATGAAGGAGAAAAGCAAACAATTATATTTATTAAAATAAAAATTCAGAGAAATAAGTACTCGCACCGTTGTGCAAGTGAGTGTAAATATACATTATTTCACTACTTACTTGTCTGTAAACGACGTATTCTTGTGGCGACGTTAGTTGCGTACACTTATATACTGCTTTTACGCCGGTAAAAGCTGTTGTTCAGTAGATCGTGTAAGATTCAGGATGATCGATAGTTTCGGTAATAGAAAGTAAAAGATCTTATTGAAAAGCACTAAAGATATATTTAACAAATTAGTTCACACGAGTTTCTATTAAAAGGTACGCTCACACCTTTTTAATCAAATAATGCACGCTCGCACCGTTCACTTATAAATTGTTCTGTCTTTTAATTTGCGAATTCTCCGAACCGAACGCACACTTGCGCGGTCGAAAGGACTCTTTTTCCGTGTTTGTCTCTCTTCGCTTGCTCAATTCAAACTGACTCCGAATCAACCGCTTCTTATTTATTTTGCCTTCTTTTACACTCTAGATGACCTTTTATGTTTTCGATGTACAGGTGGCCTACCGACTAGCTTACCATATATGTATGTATTTACATATCTCTATTACCTATACTCTTACAATCGTGTTCTAACAGGCACGTGTCTTCTACGCTTTCATATCAGCACAATGACTATTTTATTCTTCAAGCGCACTTTAACGTTAACGTTATAATAAATTTAACGTTCACTCTTCTCATCGGTCACATTGATCACGTTGCCGCAGGCAGTGACATCAAAATGATGCAACTTACCTGAAAATCGAGTGGTGGGGATAAGTCCATGGTAACGGGCATAACTTATTATTACTATATTAATAGCTGAGTAACCGATAATAATATAGTAACACTTTCCATTATTAAGGTTGCGAAGACTATATACGAATAGTAAAGTTATGTACTATTCCTTTCCTTCATTTTTTACTATAAAAGATTCGAAATTACTACAATTTATAGTAAAAAGTTTCATTGTTTCTGGGAACCATGCGTATATGGTTTATATAACTAGTATTATAGTAGAATTTATTATAAAAATGAGTATTCCGACTATAATTTTTTACCATGCAATTATAGTCTATTTTATCATCGATTTTTTTTCAGTGTATTATTCAGTATTATATATATTTAAGGGGAAAATGTTTTCACAATCTAATGTAATGTCATTAAAACAATTTATTACGTTACTGTCTAAAATTATGGCCGAATCGGTTAATCTCTTAATGTTCTCTTTTCATCTGCAATTTTAAGTCCGCGAATACGCATGAGAATAGGATAAAGCCGACGAGAGAGGAAGAATATTTCCTACGTTCGCACTTTTGCACGCTCCGCAGACTTAGGCTCTTAGCCTAATCCAAGTAGTGCGTTGATCTCGTAAACGGCTCTGTATCCGCACGAATTTGCATTTCGTGGCGCAAGCTTCTTGCCGCCTCTACCTCCTACAGTAGCTTGATGAAATAAACCGCTCGATAGTCACCTTGCGTACCGACTCCGCTCACGAATTCCTAGCACGCAGCGCGCGCGATAGCAGACGAGAATCATGCAATTTGCCACCGAACACAGACACGAAGCAATGCGCACTAATTAAGATAGATGGATTTATTTGATATCAAAAGCATATTTCTCTGTGTATTTTTCTGTTTGTAGAATCAAAAATTTCATCAAAAATATTTATCGATTAAGGTGAAAAATTAAATTACGCGAGGGAGTATTAAAAAATAATTGTCACGCTGCTTTAGAGGGCAAAGAGACAAAACTTTCAAATGCACGTTGTACAATCTCACGAATTTATTTTAATGTATGAGTTACACGGTAAGATAAGATTTGTACCATTATGTTAAATCCTTAAATGCGAGAGTCGTTAGTAAGATTGTATCTTATGCAGTTACTCCGAACGAATATATTTTGAATGCAATCAGCCTTAATGACCAAAAATATCAACGTGCTTGTATACGCGAATTGTGTAGTACATTATAAGAATTAGATTTTCTTGCTAATTGCATGTAAATAAGAATATAGAATGTAAAATTCTAATTGTTACAAGCTAAAGATTATTTCTGCGAAGAAGTTGGAAATGTAAAATATGTACATTCGTCACATATACAGGGTGACCCATTTTAATCTATCGCTTCAAATATTTCCGTTCCCTTGCATTTTACAAGAAAATGTTTCAGACAAATGTTGTATGGTTTTAAGGAGGCCATAAAATGATTTTATTGGTTTGACCTTGGATAGTCGTTTAAAGGTCACACAAAGCTCACCTTCAATCTCTTAAATTGAAATCTCCATTTTTCATTACATATTCTTATAGCTTATTTTGAGAGTTTTCCAAAACACTATAATAAAGTTATTTTCCATTAAGTATTTGTCGCGTTGTGAGGTTTAAAAGTTACGATACTGCCGGCATTAGCGTTATTCGAGATAGTCTGCCATATCACAGACCTTCTTAAAAAAACTTTCTACGTATTGAGAAAAATGCTATGGTATCAAGAGAAATCAGACGTGACCTCTAAAAATGTTTGGTTTACTCGGGTAGCCTGTCTCGCAAAAAGCGCGACCCGAGCGCGAGATTGAAACGCTTTCCTAAAGAGCGCTATAAATCGCTGCAA